AAACTAACCTCCACTGCTATGCTCTGGTTGCAAACAAACAAACAAGGTTCTGGCACAATGAATCTAGGCGGGTCATTGACACGTCAAACGGAACAGGACGCCAATGTAAGTGAATCTTCGCCACATATTGTAAACATTGGCAAGATGGTAGAGGAAATGGAGAACAAAATACGCAATACGCTTAACGAAATATACTTCGGCAAGACGAAGGATATCATAAATGGCCTACGCAGCGTACAGCCATTAGCTGACCAGCGACAGGAGGTAGCCATGAAACAGGATTTGGCTGCGGCGATCCTAAAACGTAACGTAAAGCCGGAATCGAACTGAAGTACATGTGCATGTAAAGTGGGGGAGTACGATGAAGTTGAGATACGCGAGTATGGAGATGGAAACGGCGAAGAGTGGTAACAATAGCTAGGGGTGGGATGGCATAAACGGCGTTAGCGGCATCAGAGCGGTTAAATTGTGTTTTTAAAGCATGCGCTGCATAAAACGCTAAAAAACCAAGTAGATGCAATTATTTTAATTAAAAACAAAATTTAAAAAACAGTGAATACAAGCGAGAAAGAAAATGGCAAAACAATATATTTGAAATTATCTCTTTTTTTTGAAATCAAAATAATCCAGATCAAGTCTTGGACGACTTATATGAATAAAATAATACTGAACAGTCGCACGTAATTAAGTGCTTAGTTTAAGTGATGTTTGCTTGAAAATTCAAAAATAGTTATACAAACTGAGTTCACAAATTTTTACATTGCAGAATATACATACTTACTAGGGACTATCTCGCGCATGCATGTGTGTATTCTTTAAAGTATGGCATTTACTTGCGTGCGCATAATCTTCAAAAAATAAATAAATTACCGCATCGAAATATAATGGACAAAACATACCATTAAAACGTAAACTAAAGCATTTGCATTATTGTTCAGTAGTCTTGATTTTTAGTAAATTAAAATGTAGTAATTGTTAAACTTGTTGCAATAGTTTGAAAAAAAAACTAAAGAAGAGAGAAACACACAAAAAATGAATTAAATTAATGCAAATTTTGTGTGCGAGCTAAGTAATTATTATATAGTATATGATGTATCTTCAGTATCAGTCAAATACATTTTATTTATACATACATACCTACATATGTATGTACATGTGTACTTAACCCATAAAATGAACACAAAATGTATTATTAAGCGCTACAGCTGATTGTCGTTTAGCTGCAAAACTAAAAAAACGCTAAATAAAAGCTATTAATGTCAATTGTATATAATCTCTCTCCGCCCTGACTTATGCCCTCGTGCACGCCTGTGTTTTATTGTGTATTCCTTCTCAAACTTCATAGTATTCTATTTTCTCTGCCCAACCAATTAATTCAATATTTAAGTTAGTGTGGTTTTGTAGCAAACTTTCAACCACTGCGAATTTTTAAATAATTGAAATAAATATATTTACTTATAATAAACTTAAAAAAAACAGCATATGTGTATTACAAAGAAACTTCTGATTTATGTATTTACAATTATAAGTTTATGCATTAGGGGCAATAAAATAAAGTCGATTTCTACATACAATAATGAATATTATTACTACTATTTACTTACTGAAATTACATGCATACATATATGTAGGATGGCTCTTCAGAATTATAGTAATTTTTAATGTTTAAGTATAATAATAAACTTTATTCACATTAACCGTTTACATTTTTACTTATGAATTGCAACTTAATAGGGTTGAAGCCCGTCTAAGTGGTCCGACGCGTTCGATCGTAAGTACGCGAATGCTTGTTTGGCTTGTCCGTCTTCTAACGCGATGTCCCTTTCGTCAAATCATTAGACCAGTTCTATTCCTTTATTCGTTATGTAGGGCTGCATTTCTATGTTACTAACTCTTAATGGCCAATTAGTCCTAGCATCATAAGTACTGTCCGTAAACTAATCCCACATTCGGCCATCCTGCGTTTCATTTGGCCTCAAATGAAAAACTACTATTATAATTATGCATAGTTTGTGAACTCCTCTTTTTAGCTCTCCTCACTCTTCTTCATTAATTGCTTAATGGCGTTTCTGATCCTTCATCTAGCTTTCAACAAAACTTCTAATTTCTCTTTAAAATCAGTTATCCAAAAACTTTTATTTTCAATCGGTATTGGCACTATCCTTGTAGGGAATTGCCAATATCTTCATACTCTTCACTTGTACGGTCATACAAATTAATCGCTTCCCTGTATCTTGTCAGCTGCAGCCATAGCCTCCGCGCTCAAGAGAATCAGATTCTATCTAGTGCCTCCACTATGCCTACCTCCAGACATAAACTTCATCTATGGCCCCCTAGTAGCAACAGAATGCACGCTCACACTCTCGTTGTCCACTTTTACCATAGTCCGCAACATCTCACCGTGCCTACGCAGCCTATTAGTTACACCGGACGCACGCTCACGTCCTCGATGTACACTACCGCTAACGCCTTCCGCACCTCGATGTGCTCACACGAGATTATTTCCTCGGCCCTCCAGCCGCAACCCGTTCCTCTCCGTGCCTTACCGCACCAACCTGCGAGCTTTGATCCCCGGCCCTCCAGCCGCAACCTATTGTACCTTCACTGATCTCTTTCCGCTGCTACACTGACTGCACCACCTTAACGTGACCATGGTAATCAACCTACTATGTTTCGAAACTTTGTTGGCGATTACCAAACCAGTATCGTTTCACCTCACCTCTCATAAAACGATTAAAATTTCTACGCGCCCATCATAACGTCTTAACTCTTTTTTTTTTACTATCTTTCACTTTAAGAAAATACTCTTTGAATAAAATAATTCTCAACTCACAGTCAACTAACTTGGCGAAATAATGTTTAATGCCATTAGTTACACCTTCCTTAATTTAACACTAAACATTTAAGTTGACTAAAGGCACCCTTTACCCGACACTCAAAATCACTGCACCTTACAGTCTTCTAACCGGTCACGGTCCAAGCTTACATCTAACTGCTTATATAAAACAGAGGTTACAAAACATTAACATACAACATATCTTATGAAATTTAATGATATCGATAATATTATAAAACAATATTAAACAAACAAATTCGATTTTAAATTTCGTTACATGCTCCTATACGAAACAATTTGCATGTAATAGCTGCCGCGCATCAGCTTAATAATTATTAACATTTGCTCTACACATTTCAATAACTTCAATTATGGTGAATACCCAAGAATGATAGAATACAAGATTGCGCCGATCAGAGAGGATTTTTGAGAATAACTTTTGTGTGACGTCACACTGGTGTAATTGCGAGAGAGAAATGCCAAAACGTGAGCAAGAATGGAAGAAGAAGAAAAAATGTTGCAAGGAAAACGTAAACAAGTTGCACAAGCGTGACGTCATGCAAACAACGATTCTGTCAAATTCGTTAAGAGAGGAATAGCGGTCCGAGATCGGCGCAACCTTTGTATTCTCTCAATCGTGGTGAATACCTAACAGGCTAACCTAATATTCGCGGCTTGCGTTTTGGTACGCATGCCGTCGAATTTGTTTTTTTGCGTCACCCGAAATTGACTTGCATGCGTTTGCATTTGATTTCATTGAGCGAAACGTCAAATCAAAATGTCACGCAGAACAAAAATTGGAAATTGAGTTAGCTTCATACGCACGCCGTTCAATTTCGGTTGATCTCATACAAGTTGCATGTGCATGAGAAATTTTTGACAATAAATTGGCGGCGTGCGTGAATATTAGGTTAGCCTGTAACTACCAACTTTCTTATTGGAAAATCTTTTGCTTTTTTCTATACTCTCATTTCCATTCTACTCACATAACAACAAAAAGTACAGAGCTTTATATTTCACAACGTATTTCTACTCATCTTCCTTAAAACATCCCTCGCTGCTGTCTGTTAACTTTGTTTTTGCTTGTTAATGTCCCTCGACGCCGTCAGTTTGGCAATTTCGCTGCTGTAGTTTAACGCTGACTTCACTCTTGGAGGTTACCGCTGACGGCGCTGCCTGGCTCTGGCGCCCTTGTTGCTTGCGCTATGATACAGCACTTAATTGTCGACGCCGATGTCTGTCTGCGCGCCGCCTTTGACGCCCAACGCTCGCTGTGTAGATATGTACTTTGTTGAGTACCGCTATCTGCACTTGCCCAGTGCTTAATTATCGCTACTATATCGGCTCTATGGTCGCAAGTGTACAAGTTTTTCATTGCGCATATGAACAACGGGTTGTTGCGGTACCCGTGCAGCAACAAAATTTCAATTTTTCAATTTTAATTTTATTTTTATTAATTAATTTTTCAAAGCCACTTCGTTAATAGTTCAGGATAATTACGAGACTAGTTTCGAACTACCCCGAAATGTCGAGTAGTGCTTTTGAAAAGTCGTGAACTTGTACCGAAAAATATTATCGAACAAGTTTTGAAACGGTGCCGATATGGTCCCTTATTACTCCCGAAATGGTCCGGAACTAGTCGCAAGATTATGCCGAACTAGTGTCGAAGTTTTTCAATGGTCCAGAAATAGTATCAAATTGGTCCTGAAATAGTCCCGAAATGGTTCTAAATTGGTCCCGAAATGGTTCTGAACAAGTTCCAAACTAGAGAAGAAAGAGCCCCGAACAAGTCTAGAAATGTACATTTGTACACACAAGAAGTAATTACTGATTTCTGCTGGGTTAACGCAAATTTTACCTATACCGAGTAATGTAATATACTCCGAAGAGATCGCCTCTGTGGCCCGCAGGTGGCATCGCATTCATGCTGCATAACTCGGTGTAGCACCGGTACATTTCATTAGTACAATAGTTCGCCATGAGGCACGTGGGAAGCTGAGTCCGGCAGTTTATTGCCCATTCAAAGAGAAGCAATGATCGCAGCAGTGAACTACGTAAAATACATCAGATCCGCTACCGAGACACCACCGTTCTTTGCTACATAATAGAGAAGTACACGCTCGAATATGTGGACGTGGTGGGTGGCAACCTTCCACGACCCTGGACCTATGAATGCCGTGATCGGAACCCAATCACCATCTATCGCAGACACAGAGCTTCGACTACCAATCCAGATCCGCAAGACTCTGCCCCAGTTACGGTCTGGATGCTGTAGCAGTCTCAACAGTTACCTGTACAGACTCGATCTCAATACCCCCAATGAGTGTCCGGCATATAAAGATTCGCCCCTATAACACCAACTAACTACACACCCCTCCCTTTTCTTCGTTAATTGAGCTTGACAACGGTTGATAGACAAACCGAATCAGGCGGAGCTTAGTAGTGCCGCTGCAACAGCAATAATAACAGGGTCGTTGGGAGTCTCTAGTACCACGTCGCAGCTTATTACGTGACATTGTACTCGTTAAAAATTCCCGATATATGGGAAACGTCTGTGGATATTGGAGAGTCTTACAGGACAATCTCCTTTCTATAGTAAGTGGCAAACGTCGTGGAACCGCTTCTCCTAACCAACCTGAATAAGCATCTGCCCATCTTCTTCTTCTTCTTATTTGGCGCTGTAACCGCCTAAGCGATTTTGGCCGAGTCCAAAACAGCACGCCAGTCATTTCTCTTCTGTGCTAACTGACGCCAATTGAAAATGCCAAGTGAAGCCAAGTCCTTCTCCACCTGGTCTTTCCAACGCAGAGGAGGCCTTCCTCTTCCTCTGTTACCAGCATCGCGGCCCGCGTTGAATATTTTCAGAGCAGGAGC